AAATTATATCAATTGTCAGAGAGAATAATAAATAATAAATAAATTGATATCAGTCTTTGTGAGAAATTTTGAATCTTTTATCTTGTACATTTATAAAGATATCATTTATAAAGGTATAAAAGGTGTACTGTTAATATATCTTTATAAGACGTAACATACTTTACTCGATTCTATGGAAATAAATAGATATGTCAGTTAGTGTTTTCATCTAAATTCATTAATTAACTGTAAAATCTCAAATAGTGCAAAAATTGAATTACACGATATGGAAACACCCTGCGAGTAATATCTGAGCGAAAAACTAGTAAAAGCCATATTTTTTCTCATTTCGGGAAAAAAAAGGATTTGTGAAACTGCGTAATACGAATTTCAGTTACGTTATTATGGTACTTTTTCTGTGGTTTAAAAAAAAAAATTGAGAATTTTATATTTTCACCATGATAATTAAGCATTACACTTTTTTGAAATGTGTGACATTATTACTGGCTTATACTATTATTCCGCCCAATAACTCGCAGACGGTATCTGTTTTTCACTTCATCCATTTATGCCGCTTCGATTATAAACACATTTAATTAGCATGCCTGATTACATTGAAGTGTGAGTGAAAAATAATAAATCACTGCCAAAGTTTTATCAGCTGACATAGAAAAAAGAATGAAATATTTAAAATAAATAATGTAAAAAGATGAGAAATAAATCAATTTAATTCTATCGTAATCTCCATGCACATTTGTGTAGTTACTAAAGCCCATATTTATATGGGTGTATCTCTTAATACCGCACTTATACGCTCTAAGATTAATCCGGACCGTTGAAACTCAACCGTGCTTCAAACACAACTTACCTGATTATCAGATTTTTAATTCCCTTTTTTTTCGCGAGCGAAAAAAGCTTTCTCCTTTTTCCCGCGTATCGCGCGTCTTATACGCGCGGGGAAGGGAGTTGGAGGGGGGGGGGGAACATGCGACGGCGAACAGACAAAAACAATTTGCAGCAGAAATTTACGTGCTACGGGAAATTGGAATGGGGGGGGTCGTACGGGAAAGGATTAGCGTTGCAAAATGAAAGTAGCGCGCGCGCAGTTGCAATGGCTTTGCAATATTGACAGTCCGCTCCCGATCTACCCCAACTTGCACGAAGCTTCGCGGCACTCCGGCGTCGGCGTAACTACGTTTAGGAATTTGACATACATTTCACCATTGTACCAACCTGCGGGCCAGCGCCGTTCAAGGTATTCAAGCTATTCATTCTCATTGCCTGCGTGTACGGCGGCGGTGCCGGCGTGACTCCCGGCACGGCTGTGTGCGGCGCGTGTCGGAGCTGCTCGGCCGCTGACATTCTGTATTCGTTTGCAAGAAAGAAATGCAGAGTTAGTGACGGAAAATCGGACTTTTTCCCCCGCGCGGAATTTAAATCGCGGAAAGAGAAGTGGGCGAGAAACGCGGGCATGCAAACAGTAACGGAATCCGACTCGCAGCGGAGTTGCGGTTTCGTCGCGCCGCGCCAGACGTCACGAATGCTTTAACGTATTCTCGCTTGTATGAGCATCAACGTATTGTGTCTGAATATCGTGTTCTCGTGTATTCATTATATCATCGAATAAATGATAATTAATGGCCGATATTTGGTACTTTATAAAACTGAGCAATAGTAGCAAAGTTTGTTCGTGCTTGTTAAATTCTAGCTGAATTACTCAGCGTTGTCTACCTTGTTTCATTAAATAAAACTTACACATACATTTAGATTTCCGGATATTTTTTAAATACGTTTGAAGGAAAGATATTTAATAAATTAAATAGATCAAATTTTTATAATGCCTTTAGAAAATAATCGATCGTGTAAAGAAATGAAAATGTGTATATTTGTAAATGAAAATTAAATCACTTCAATCATAAAATCGATTATCCATCATTTCGAAACATTTCTCTATCTCTTCTTACTTCGGAGGAAGAACATTTCAAAGACGTCCACGCTGACAGTCTCGGTCAGCTTTTATTTTACAAGCACGTTATGTCCGCGGGCCTGAACTGAAATCGTAACGAATTCATCCCTCGTTTCGGTCCTCGAATCGAGAAAGTCGCCCCGTCTCGGTACGTACGTACTCGAGTCCCGACTTGGAAACAGTTTTGGATCTGAATTGAAACAAAACACGTGAGGTTGTTGCTGTTTGCATTCTTGACAGGGGGAGAGTAAACAGAAAGAAGAGAAGGCACGTATGAGCCAGATGCGGGTGGTGAAGCGTGGACCTCGGTATCCCGAGCACAATGGTGAGACGCTTCGATCTTTCTTTGAGGGGAGGATATAAAATTTTGAAAGGAGGACCATGCTGAGAACGCAATGAGACGAGAATTCTAGAAGCTCTCCCGTAAAGTAGAAAGCCAAATTCAATGTGCAGCTTGCAGATGGAATTCACGCGAATCTTAAATAGAATTTGCGCCCTGTTTTTCTGAAGAATTTCCTTCTTTTCCCTCTCCTCACCAGGTTGATCTTTTAATCATCATGCGCCCGTAATACTTTTGAGGGAGGAAAGCATTTCTTCGTGGAGGCTCTCGCGCGTGGCACAACCGCGCCTCGTTCTCATATCTAATTTAGTCGCTCGCGACGAACGCATTCCCGGCACGTACGACGTGAGATTCTCGCGCACGGGGATGACAAGCGCGCCGCGACGTATACGTAAACGGAACGTGATGCCGCCTAAGGTATCCGCACCCGATCAATGACACGAGCCAATTATAATTAGTCCGAGGCATCCGCGCGCGAGCTTCTAAGGCTCTAGTGACTATGTTGACACTCTCAGAAATTTTGGAACTTTGATCGAGCGCGAACGAACGTTATTTCCTCGGCTTACATGGAAGAGCTATTACACCGTAACACTCTGCTCCTCCTACAGATTATCTCGCGCATCTGGAGTCAATAATCTTTAGGGAAATTTAGGAAGAATTTTCAATATTTATTAGATCATAAATTTTCCCGCCTTTCTCTTTTTTTTTTTTTCTAGTTTTAGTCTTGTAGAGAGATACGGACTTACCTGAGGTAGGGATTGCCATATGTCGCGGAAAATCGCGGATCGATCGGCGTTGTTTGCGGAGTCGAGGTACCCAGATTTGCCGAGCTGAGTCCGATCTTTTTCGATGACAAAATACCACCCGATGGTATCCTGCTCAAGGACTCTCGCGAAGCGCCCATGCTCTGTGTCGTCGGTGGCATATAATCGCGAGTGTAATCAACGTATGGCACGTAACCATTGTTGTTACTACCATCCTATAGAAACAGACATCGACATCTTATTCTTAATATAACATAAATAAATATCTCCATATAAAAATCTATTTTCGAAATCTATTTTTAGATGACTCTTATTCCGCATTTTCTTCAGTATCGTACAATCACGTTGATCGGAAGTATCGAACGTGAACACGAACGTTCTAAGATGACAGAATGTAATCCACTTACGCTATTCTTCGGCGGGAAGGAAGGCTCGGTATAATCGGCGCTATAACGATAACCGGATAGTGGATTTGGGACTGGTCCAGCAAGCGCCAAGGCGTTCACTCCTCTGGTACTTCCTTCGCCTTCACTGTCAAGGGCCGTGACACTTTCCGCGTTGCTAACACTGGATCCCGCTCGGATGTCCGCTTTGACATCCGAGAGGTTGCTGCTCCTATCGCTTTCTCTGTATCGATCGGCGTTAGAATCGGTCTCCTCTGTGTAAATGAGAAAAAAAAGAATGCGATTGGAATGCGTAGGAAATGTATTAAAAAGGTTAAAAGAAGGAAAGCAATCTTTTCCTTGCAACCTTCTATATATATATATATTCCGCACATATTTACATTGGCGTCAAAAGTAATTACTTACGCAGATCGGTTTCTTGATTCTGCGTCGTCCGCGGTCGTGGCTGCTTAATACGTTCGCGACATTGTAGAATGAGAATGACTATTATGCCAATCAGGATCACGCAGACAACCAGTCCAGCGATGATCAAGATCAGTTGCCAATCGACTGGAATCAACGCTAAGCGTCATGCCTGGTTAAAATCTCGTTTACCAGATGAAGAGTGAGGCGCGCTGCTTATTAATATCGCCGCTTGAAAAGTGGCACGAGTCAACAACATTAAATTCCAGACGTCTTCTCGAATAACAAACGACGTAGTCGTTGGCTCGCGACATTTTTGTAAATCAAACAAAAGCTTATGTTCATGATTTACGCTAAGATAAACTCATTGTCTTTAACTCGTGTCTCCTTTCAAGATTTCTACATTCCTGAATTTTCCCGCTCTGGAATTAAATGACGTGAGATAATCGAAACCCAGGCTCGAGTAGCCTACGATATTTAATGTATGTTAACGGCGAGTCATTTATCGAAGATAATTATTTGACCATTTATCGAAGATAATTATTTGACATTTTTGTGATGGTCAATTTAAAGTAGTTTGCAAATCATTAACTGGAGAGCTAGCCGCGCAAACGAGCTGATCTAGAATCTCTCTGATCTTTTAGGAATACTGGCGGCGACAAAGCGTACTGCCGCGGCCGTATTACTCTTACAAATTGTGATTTTCCCGAGGCATCGTAAACGCATAAAAGCCACGGCGCAAAAGGATTTAAATTATCATTTTGTTAAAAAGTCGGTACCTCGTTGGTCTCTGCTAAAAAGAGAAAAAGATCTACGAGATGGTTACGACGTTATTACGCCAGTTCCGGCAAGCAAAAATGTCAACTTTCTTCTTAAGTGAATTAAGTTCTTAAAAATCTTTCGAATATTTTGATAAGCAAAACGGATATTCATTCGAGCTAAATAAACGCTTCATTTGTTCTTCAATATGCGTGAGCGAGATATATACATTTCGGCGGTGTTATCTCGGCGAGTACGGTAAGAGGCTCTGGCAATATTTCAACTCCCTAATCATTCTTAAACTGCTTTACATACTTTCAATCTGCTTGAAAGAACTGAATCGATTTATCACACGCTACTGTCTAAGTCTATCAGACCTACATCTGTTTCCACGAATTTTATATATAAATCAAAGAGAATAATAGAATAACAGAAATTTGAATATGAAATTCTCCTTATTCTAATCGTAAATGTATCTATTGTTATTACCATAAATTCCTCAACCAATATTAAAAATTGACTCAACAAAAATAACTAGGAATTAATAAGTATCACTAATTTAATTATCTATTTGGAAAAATTTTAACTTTCGATCAAAGAACTACGTTTCAAATTCACTAAAAATAATGTAGTTGACGACGTAAGCAAATAAATATCTAAATTTATGTATAAATTCAAAAATAAAAGATTATTAAGTGCCAAAAATTTTGTTCTGAAATATCTGAATCATTGTTTGCGAATTTAGCACAAGTTTTTACAAATTTAGAAAAGAACAAATGTCTACCTTAAAATAGATGTGTACATCTTACATATGTGCATAGGCATATGATATTCTCGTCGAGTTACAATTAGCTCGTATTGTTTGCTCTCCGAGCAAACACAGTTTTTCATAATCGTTAATATCATGATCGTAAAATTAGAACTTTCTCGTTTCTAACGACGTTCGATTTCTTTTCTTCCTTTTAACGACTGCGCAGTGAGACAATACGGGCGTAAGTTACATTTGTTCTCTTTGGATATACATTTAGAATTACACGTTAACGACAATGGCGCTCTTTAATTACGAGGATTATTACAACGAAACGGAACATCGATCAATGCCATTACATCTTGTCGCGGAAATACGCGTCCCATTTATATCACTATTATTATCATAATTATTAGGGAGAACAATGATTCGTTCGAACTTCATTCCTTACTATCTACTAATCTTAATACATTTTGGCACGAATATCGAATTTATTTAAATTCAAAGTAATTCGATTGCTCTTCGTTATTCTTTTATTCAAATTATTTTAATGATATTAAGTATTTAAAAAGATCTGATAGCTGATTAGTTGAAGATACATTTAAGAATTTATAGGTTTAAAATACAAAAATAAAAATTTTTACTTATACAATTATTATATCAAAATTTATTGAAATAAAAATTTTTCTTTGAACTTAACTGAAAATCACATTTTACTAGCTTTGTGAATGATAATTTTTTCAAGGTAATTACAAGTGCAAATATTAGCGTAGCTTGATATGTAACTTCTAAAATTTAAAAGTAGATATAATTTTTTATTATATTATTTCAAATTTTAATAGTAAGAAATATATCTCATCGTATGTATTAAAATCATATCAATTAACACTTAAATATAAAATTGAATTTTTAAAACTGATTTTAAAAACGATTTTTCAATAAATTCTTTTCACATATAAAATGTAATTTGTTTTTATACTTTACTATATCTTATAAAAATCTTATAAAAAATTGAAGGAAATTTTCTAAATTTTTGAAGAAACTTTTTGTAAGGAAATTCTTCAATATTTCGATATGGTACGATATTGGTACGGTTGCTTTAATATCTTTTTTTATTTTCAACGAAACATTGTATCGCATGAAATTAGCCGCGATGACACGTCGAATTTTGCTATTCACCGCATAGTACGTAACGCGCGCCTCTCGATGCATGTCAGATCGCAATCGCCGTGCATCCTCGTGTCTTTTTACCCGTCCCCCGGTAAGCTCCGTATAGAAACGAGGATTGAGAGTGTCGAATCGAGTGACGCGCGATCAGCTCGGTCTATTATCCGCGCGATCGCGATTAATACGTTTCACAGTTCTCGCTAATCGGCGCCTTCGCATCGCGTTTCAGTCAGAGAATTTTCTAATCGCGCCAAGTGCCGCGGTCACGTGATCAAATTTCGCGCAGTAATACATAAACTGGGGGACGCGCGCCTCCCGGTGCATATCGGATCGCAATCGCTGCGCATCCTCGCGTCTTTTTGTCCGCTCCTAAACTTCGTATAGAAAAAAAAGTATCGGGGGTGTCGAATTGAGTGACGCGCGATCGCGATTAACACGTCTCTCGGTTCTCGCAATCGGCGTCCTCGCGTTCGAGAATTTTCTTGCAGTCGTGAGAAATTAGCCGCGATCACGTGATCAAATTTCGTTATCCGTGCAGTAGTACGTGACGCGCGTCCCCTAGTTCATGTCGAATCGCGATCGTCGCGTACCTCCGCGTCTTTTCACGCGGCCTAAATGAATTTCACAAAGTGCAAAGTGCAAAGTGAGTGTCGAGTGATCGAAGTGAGAGTGTCGAAGTGATCACGACGATTGTTTCGGCACGTTTTCGCGCGACGCCGATTCGTATCGGCACCTGTCGAGTCGACACAGGGGAGGATCCACCGGCAGGATCCACGCCTCTCATGTACCCTGCTCGTCCAACAAGCGTCACGAGTGCTATTCAGCATCCGGAGCATCGAGAAGCATTGAGAAGCATCGAGAGATCGTCGTCGAGGACTAACGGAGCCTCGAATCATCTCGCTCATTTGAAATATTCGAAGTAAGGATCGGCGTTCGCGCTGCCATGTTTGTTCGAGCGTGCTTCGCGGAATCGCGCGTCTTCCTGGAATCGCGTCGGCGTCCATTTCTCGAAAACATGTCGCGCGCGGCGAATTCAGGAGTGACGAACGAATGTATGATGATGGGCGATTGATTTGTTTTTGGCTCACGAGTGATATTGTCGGTCGGAAAAACTTTTTTTTCGCGTTTGTATACGGGCATTTTTTTCATGCATTTTTTTCATTATATCCGCGAGTGTGTAATCTAGCGGATTGAGGTTGGATCGAAAAAACGCCCCGAGAGAAGCTGCGACCTTCGTAGCACGTCGATTGTGAGTATAAAAATATAATTGTACCAAGGTATTTTTGGTAAAGGATTTCTTCTTAAGTCTCTAACTTTTATATTAAGACAGATATAAATATGTTTTATTCTAACCAAAGTATATTTAGCGCGATATGTAAATTAGAAGAGAAATTAATTATAAAAAAAAACATCGATATATATGAATAATTTTTCAATTTAAAACAAACTGAACTGACTTTCTTGAATAAAATTAGTGAAGATTAATTACGAGTAGAAGCGAGATTAAATATTTTAACCAAAATAGGATAAAATAAAAATTAGGGACACTAATTTTAGATATTAGAATTAATATTAGAATGTTATTTGTATTCTTACACAATAAAACTTTAATTACTAAGCTATTTGACATACAAGATCATTTAAAAATATAAAGATATTTAGAAAATATTTAATTTAGTCTAAAAGTATTGAATTATTTCATAGAATTATTTTAAAGATATTGTAAATATTTTGTAAATCTATCAAAATTAAATTCTCATGGAGAAAAAAATCAGACGATTCTTTAACAAATGATATATCACTTTCTTCGTCAAGAAAATCGTTTCGATCTTCGAAAGCTCGTCTAAAAATGAGGCGCGATGAAAAGTACAAAATTAATTTAAGAAATATTTAATTACTCTAAAGGTATTGAATTATGATATTCTATAGAATTATTTAAGAAATATAAATATTCTGTAAATCTATCGAAATCTATCGAAATTAAATCTTCGCGGAGGGAAGGTCACACGATTCCTTGACAAATGATGTCGCTTCCTTCGTTAAGTGGATCTATTATCTAGCAATATGTACATTCGGATCGGCGAGATCTTCGGAAGCTTGTCTAGAGATGAGGCGCGATCGGACGAGGGAATGAGGAAGCGCAATCTACGGCAGATATCAAACACTTACTGTGTGCTGTCAGTTTGATAATGACGGAATCCGTGCCGAAGCTGTTCGTAACCGTGCAGTTGTAATCCCCGAAGTACGTCGATATGGGATCCAGTAGGGTGACAGTGCTGACTATCCTCTCGGCCGCGTATTCCTCTTGCACGTAGAATGGCGTATTGTTCGACGTGAAATTGAGCTCGCGACCGGCGAAGCTCCACACCACCGAGTCCGCTTTTGGCACGGATATCGCGGTGCACTTAACCTAGGAAGCAAATCGGGGGAAAAACGGCGGTGAAATAAAAAAAATTGCGATTAAGCGGGAGTCCCTCTCACGCCCCACGTTGCCGCCCGGGTCTTTCGATCCTCAACCGGGCGACCCGTGCACCTTTGTCTCTCTTCTAAAAGCGTTTCAAGCATCGGCAGAGAGGAAAATGTGGGAATGGCATCGCGCGATCATCGCGAGCCCTGTGTCAGCGGGGAAGAAACGTATATAGAATGCTGGCGAGACGCTTGGACGCACTTCGGGTGCCATTTCATCCGAATCGAAACGCGGGACGAGAATTCATATCGACATACGTCTGTAAACGTCTAGTCTATGTCTTGTAAAGCGAATTTAAAACCAATATAATTTTAATAAGATCTTTAAGAAATAAATAAGTATCACGTTACACGTCAGATCATGTCAACGAAAAAGCCTGGACAGATTCAGATTCCGATGCGGAAAATGTTTATCGAGAACACGTCAGCACCCCCGTGCGCTGATCATCTTACGAATCCTCAAGCGTATTTTCATATCACGCGGATGAAGCTAAATTATCCAAAGTAAATTATACTGAGTGCTTCCTGATAACTGCCGTTGCCAGCTCAAAAGACTTTTCCGGCGGCGGGAGTGCTTCCGTGCAATAATAATTCATGATACACATGAGCGCGCGGGATCCCGGCGATGGGGCACTCAAGAAAATTACGCGCGGGTCGCGCGTTTCTTTGCACCCGATCGCGTTGTCAATGATACCGTGAATGAAAAACTGATACATTTGATAAATTTGTAGGAGACGAAAAAACTAACCGATCGGGATTCGAATTCGCGATCCTTCGTTACGGACCGCGATACCTATGTTCATTATGTATCGTCAATGTAGATTAATTTTAAGCTCGGTTTAATTTACTTTTTATCTTTTTTCAATTCTAAGAATTAAAAAGGAATAAAGAAGTAAGTTAAATAAAGAGATAAAAGTTCTATCTACGTTGATTCCTCTACGTTAATTGTTTATTTGTTTCCAATCTTCTGAAATAATATTTGAAGACCACTTACGGTCCTTATATATTGCTATTTTCGTTTTTCTCGTTTATTAAATTTAATTTATTACTTATAATTTAGTCGTTGAATCGAATAATCGTGTACACGTACCTTGACCACTCCTTCGTCGGGCACGTACTGGATCCTTTGCGATACTATGCTCGGCGGGGCGCGAATGTAGATGTTGGCGTAGCCGGTCAATTCCGGGAAGCCGGGCACTCGGGCCTTGCAGTAGTAACGGCCGGCGGTGTCGGGGCTCACAAAGACGCTTATGTTCGGGCTGGTGGCGACCATTCGCTCCGAATCCTCATGGTACCACAGAATCTCCGGCGTCGGATTCCCGTCTACGTCGCACTGCAGGATCTCCGTCGCGCCGTAATGCGTTTCCACGGAGAGCGGTGGGTGCCGAAACTGCGGGCCGTCTGAGGAAATTCAATTTTAACCCCCGGGGTCAGTTCCCGTGAAAATGAACTCCGCGCGCCGGGAGGGAGGAGGGGAAGAAAAAAAAAAATGTTACTTCCTTGCTGCCGCCGCGCGTCTATTCCGGCGCGGCTTATTTCGAGAGCGCGCGTTTCCGCGGCGCGGCGCTCTATTTTATATCGTTACCACGATTGCTCCTTTAACACACCGGCTTGTAAGGTACCGGCTTTACGGTAGAACGAAATTCTCTCTTAGCACGAACTCGAGTAGCGCGCGTGCAAAATGCGCAGCTCTCTATTTTATATCTTTACGCGACTGTATTTTTAGGCCACCGTCGTTGAAACGATATTATTTTTTTAATGCGAAACTGACGTTGGATTTCTATCGCGAAATTTAAACATCGAAACGGAAATCAATGCTGGAAATCTGCGCGGTGGTCTCAACGAAAATATCTATCTCCCTCGTTATTATTTTATACGGATAATTAGATTTTATACTTACATCTTATATCCAAGGTTTGGCTCTCCTCGCTTTTCCCGACGTCATTGGAAACCTCGCATTTTACGGTAGCGTCGTGCAGCTCGCGGGTAGCATTGTGAATAATCATCTCCGTGGTGTAGTCCCCGATCACCTTTTTCTTGTTGATAAACCACCTGGGAGAAGAAAAGCGAAATAGACGTCATTTGAAGAAGAGGGATAAAATGGCGTCTCCTCTTTACGTAATAATTCGATTGGCGGGTGTAATAAGCCGACGTTGCGGATCAAAAACTCACGGATTATCAGACATTTTTCACAACTCGCGTTTTCTCTTACCACCAGTCCGCAACTTTCTCGTGTCGCCTGTCGCCACCTCCCCTTCCGGATCAATACGACTTTTTAATAACGCGGTGCATTCAAATATTACTTCTGTAACTCGGATCTAGAGTGACTTTTTTTGTTGATTTCATTGAATAAATGGTATCTTCCAATGGATAACCAAAATACAAAATGCAAAATTTACGTGCATTTTTCACGTGCAATTGACTTTGATTTTTTTAGGCTTAATTAGATCACTTTTTTATATTTTAATACTTCACATTTATTTCGAACTAGATTTTAAATAAAAATAAAATTAATTGAAAATTAAACGAAAAAATATCTTGACATTATTTATATATGTCTGTGACATTTCACTTTCGATTAATTGAAAATTTATTGAGGTCTCAACGTTTATATTGTAAAGAAGTCGATTCTAAATTGATCAAGGAGTATACTTTTTTACTACTACACAAATTTGATTCGGAGACATTTTGTACACGTGCTTTATGACGTTTCCTTACCGCAAAGTGCTCTGCCACTCGACTTTTGCCAACGGAGGCGTCCTCACGAAGGATCCGAGCGATTTATCTCGAGCATCGTTTGGCCGCACAATCGAGGAAAAGAGCCTTGGCGTCGTCGTTTCGAATGGTAATAAACGGGCGAGGGCAGGCTGTGCTTTTCACAGCGGCGAAACGGCCTTCGCGTACAATCAGCGAAAAGGAGAGAGCGAGAGAGGAATCGAATCGAACTGGAACGACGACTTACCGGGCTCGTGTGTCTCTAGGCGAGAGAGACCCATAGTGCACCCACCCTCCTGCCACCCTCACATGCCTCCTTTACCCCCTCGCGTCGCAATCGATTTTATCGGAGCCGTGGAGCCGTCCGACAGACAATTTACCTCGCAAAGATGCCGGCGAAAGCGCTGTGCCACGTACATTCGCGCCAGTACTATGCCATAACGACTCGATAAACATCCAAGTGTCTGTAGGTCATCTCCTATCTTCCGGTAAAGTTCAACTCTTCCGCGTACGCATCTATAGAGTGTTCGAGGGAGACGCGATCTAACTTTAGGAAGATATTTTACTCGCAGCGAGATTGAAAGAAGTTTTATGAATCCGGCAACACCTTCCCATTTCGAGTTGTAATACGTTATATGTATTTGTCACCGGAGGGAGGGTGGCTTCTCATTTTCAGCGCGAGTAGAATATATTTCAGGAAGTAAGCCTTTTTCGAACAATTTTTACTGTATATTCCATTTTTAAAATTCGTTTTTTCAACGCGCGTTTTTTTTTTAATTATACGTGTCTATTGTTTTCCATAAGTGTAAATAATTTATAATTTGTGGATAATATCTGATGTCTGCTAGAAAGTTTATAACGCCGCGGAATGTAGATATTTTCTGTATCCGCTTTTCTGTATTCCGCTTTCCGCGGACGTACCGCGGCCTTATCAAAGCAGTTCTGATGACGGAAATAACGCAAAATTAATTAATATCCGAAATTAATTAGCCCTAGAGTTATCTCGCGTTGTCTGACTTCCTACGTTTCCTTGCATATTATATAATCCTTTCTCTACGCCATTATAACGAGATAGTCCAAAAACTGATAGAATAATCGATAATGAGTTTGTTATTTTTGTTGTCTCGCTGCTTAACACCGCGCGAAAGCATTGAAAATCACGTCGTCGGCCTCACCGCTTTCTCAGTTTTCACTTGTATTCGGATCTTTTTTACGGATGTTGGCGACCATTGTAAAAGCTATAAAAAGCTGTGGAAGCTATAAAAGCCGTTGAAGCGACTGGTAACTAACGTTCGTTATCGTCAATACAATGTGGTCCTCTGACTGCTCTTTACTCGTTTCTCCGTTTATCCTACTATCCGTGAAGTCCCATAAGCCGATCAAGTTTCTTTTTTTTTACGGAGCTTTAACACACATCGTCCACGCCTGGAGAAAGTCTGCCGTAACTCAAAAAAAAAGAAAAAAATCTGATTTCGAGCTTTTGTGTCCGTATAAAAGCTTTCCGCTCAGTTTTATGTTTGGGGAAAAGGCAGCAATTTAAATCTCGGTAAATCGAAATTCTTTTGTTTCTATCTCTTATTATATGAAACTAATTTACAACTCGTGCAGCAAAATACAACAACGGAGCGAAGGAACGTTGGAGAACCGCGTTTGCGCGCCAATAAACGCACGAAGTCTGCGTCTAAAAAAAAATAAATAAAAAAACAACTTGATTTTGCAAATTGCAACAATGTTTTTTTTTTTTAGCGATGCAATACGGGCTTTCTCGGGGGGTGATATTTTCGACGAGCCGATTTAATTCGAGCGACGATCCGATAATCTCGTAAATTAATACGGCGCGTTATCCGGGGCGAGCGATCCTTTTTTTTTTCCCGACGGGGATGTTGCGTAACGAATAATTTAAAAGCAATCAAAGCGGGCCCGCTACGCGAAACCCGCAAACGCGCCCCGCGTTAACACGTGCGCGCGCAACACCGTCCTGAATTTGACATTGTCCTCTTTGTAGAGACGGATATCGATCATCCGCCTTCTCTTTGTCGCTCCCAGCCAATGTACGAGCAACGCGACTCACGTTTTGCTTACGCGCCCTCGCGTGCTCACCACGCCGACGGCGTCGCTCACCTGTAGCGACACGCTATCGTGAGAAACTATCGATATTTCGAAAAGTTTAAGTAGCTTAAGGCTCTCGCGGGGAACCGATCGCTTTGAGGAAGGGAAGCTGATGCGAGTCGCGCGCGTGTCATATTTTATTTGTGCATGCAAAAAGAAAAGTTTCGGTTTAGATCGAGTTTACCACTTTCCGGTAAATATTTTCTCGGCAAATTTTCCTGGCTTCCCATCCCCGAAAGTTTGAAAAAATAATCCAAACGTTTAAATTAAAACGGGACATAATTTACGACCGATTACGATGATTTTTAATATTGCATGGAGAAAATTTGATTATCCGCGATCTCTATATTAGTGTTCCCGTCCTGTTATTAATACTTCACTTGTATGCTAATTATAGATATACAGAGGGTAACTATTAAGTAACCATTTGGAAACTAGTCCTCAGCTACATAGACTTTATTGAACAACTTAGACGACCCGATTTCGACTAAAGTTCGGCTTATTGTCGTAAATCCATAAAGAGAAGTCTTCCTTTGTTTTTAATAAATAAATAATAATCAGCCTTGCAATTTTATCGGTTTCGTACATTCTTACAATAAAGTGGAGTTTTTATAATCTTTGAAAGTTTACATCACTTCATTAATTAATTCTAAAGTATCTCGAACAGAAATCGAAGGCATCTCTCTTTCCTCTCTCCTCTCTCTCTTTCTCTCTCTCTCTCTCTCTCACTCTCTTCCTACTGTTAATGAAATAAGTTGATATTTCTTTTGTGTTTTTATTCACCTGTATTCCACGTCGGGTGGATTGGCTTCAGCGCAACATTTGAACCTAAGCTCAGAGCCTTCGACGATGCGATCGATCTTCGAGAGGGACACCTTCGGTGCGTAACGTACCTGAAAACAAAATGCGTAAATCGCCTTTCTCCGTTTCCTTTCCATCATGCAGAAATCGAGCGCGGTCCGTTTGATATTATCGTCGCGCTCTCGTCCCGAGGTGTGTACTACGATGCGTAGTCCGGAATAATAATGATGCATATCCATTACCACACGTTTGAAATTTTCGAAGCGTTCGTTATATATTTCACAAGGGAAATAGGAGAAATATCCCGTAGTATATATCTCTCAAACTCGATACACTCTTCCAGAATTGAATGAAATTTTATACTTGTTCAATTTTGAGGGCTCATCCGAAATCTTTTAGGGATGCGTATTTATCATGCAAAATTTTAAAACTCAATTCTTTTTTAAGGCTATCGCATGATTTTAAATTTAGTAATGTTTCATTTGTTGTACTGCGTATTTTTTTGGATTCACGCTTGCTTTTATCGACAGATTTTTTTTTTTTACAAGAAGTATCAATCTTTGCATACTGAAAATGATCAAAGTATCATACTTTTATAATTGATGAAAGATAAATAATTTTTCACAAATTAAACTTCATAATTGCCATACATTAGTAATAAAGTTTATCTTGCAATAAACTCTAGATTTATTTAAATAAGATTGTAATATTTAACAATTTTAATTTTTATATTAAAGATCAATATTACATTGAAGGATTTATTTAATTAAATTTCCTCGAAGCAAAATTCATTTAAATTACATAAGTAATCTATGAAAGAAAAATAATTATATTTTAATAATAGATATTTTAGCAAAAGTTGATTCTGAATTATATATATATATATAATAAAAAAAAAGAAAAAACAAAACCAATAAAATAGTAATAAAAGACAAAATAACTCTCTCCATGAGAATTATATAAATTTGTCAACACATAGATGATGAAGAGAGAGCACGTTGAAGAAATAGAAGTTTCACATTTCGCTCAAAGTCGCTTGCGTAAGAACTGCTGCCAATTAGGATGATATTAACATCGAACTTATATTAGGAATCGTGAAAAGGGTAGGTAATATATCCGACGCGATGTAAAAGAGTTAAGTAATAACTCGTGAAAATTTTCTAGTAGACCGGCGTGGCGCGGCACGGCGCGTTCATAATATCGTGCCGCATTCGTCCTCGTCTTCGTCCTCGTTGTCGTCGTCGTCGTCGTCGTCGTCGTCGTCATCGTCGCAAATTCGAACGTTCTGCCCGGGCAAAAATCTCCGCGAGTTCACTTCGTTGCCCTTTCCTTGAAACTATTTGTTCCCTTTGCCACTTCGGATAATGGAGTCTACGTCTCTCTGAAGAAAAGAGGGCGGAAGTAGTACCCGGAGAACGCGCCAAAGTACTCGCGCGCTCGCAGCACGAAAGTTGCGCCAGCGGATGGCGATTACCGCGCGCTAACCGCTTCTCAAGACACGACGTTAATTATTATACGTCGCCTCGTTACCCTCGTTACTCCCTCCTCCCTGCCCCCGTCCTGGCCTCGCTTTCGCGCGACTCGCGTTAATTTCTTCCTCCGGTCAGCGAGTAAAAAGAGCGCGCGCAAAAGGCCAGTGATTTTATTTCCCTTTAAGCAAGATTTCTATCTTCCCCCGCTTCCCATTTTCTTTTATTTTTCTCTGATTTCTCGCCGCTCAGAGACTTATTTCAGAATATTATCCTATATATTTCTGACACGTAAACTCTGGGCTCGAGCTCAGGCGACGGCGTTATCATGTGTACGCGCTCGCCGAAACTAGGCTTAATTATTATTTCTAATTCGTACCTCGACGCGAAGTTTGGCGCTTTGCGGCGAACGATCCGCCATGTTTTGACTTTGGCACGTGAAAGTCGTGTTGTCGTGATCCTTCCGCGGCATCACTCTCAGGACGGACTTTACAGTAGTCAGCGGACCGTTATCAAACGGCTCCTTCGTGGTTTTGATGCCACGATGTAGCACGTTGCCCAGTCCATCGATCCACGTGATCTGCAAGAAACGTTACAGTTAAAAATAGCGTCGCTCGAGAAAACACCCGCGTCAGGGAATTGACCCGTGACCGGAATTCTTATGCTTTTATTACCATAATGTTGCCCGTGGGTCCTAAAAACTTGAGATTTTTTTTTTTTTAAAGCTCACAGCCCCTTTAGCGAAACACTCTGACAAAAATGTAAGCCTACTTTGACGTAAATATTAAAAAATAATCCGTCACGACACAACTTGAATATTTTAAATGAAATACATTAGGATTATCATTTAATACACTTTGATTAAAGCAGAAATTCACGGCGAAAATTCCACTAGCCTCTGCTCTCAAATTGCACACAATTGTGTCCGATCGAAATTTTCGCCGGGTATTGTTTACGGATAAAAACCGATCGGCCTCGGAAATTGTTGTGAGGCAGGGATGCGATTCGCACGATCAATTAATAATGAAGTTGCGAACGAATTTCCGTGCATAATGCCGTAACATGATTGTTCTGCCGGGGCCTGTTCAAACACAATTGCGCGTGTATGTACGTGCGTGTCGCGGAAATCAAGCTTATCGGCTCTAATTAGACACCTCATGCGAGAGTTCCTGCTGTTTGTTATCGATATGAGATCTCCGGGCTGCAAGTGCCGCAGCGTCCTTCCGCGCGTTCACCGCGTTAGAGATCACTGGAATAATCGTATTCCCACATGGTGTCGCCATTAGAATTTACTGGTATTGTCTCGTGCCACGATTTATGCGTTCTTCGCACGATTTTTACGATGTATTAACATTATCGCTATTTCACTGACGGACAGACATCCATCGGATATATTTCGCTTTTCGAGGCGCGCGTTCCGTGAATTATTCCGATAATTTTGTTTTTCCGATTAATCAGCAACGTGCGATCGATCGTACCCGTATTTGTTAATAAAAATCATCAGCATACATGCTGATGATGTTTGCACAATCATTTGGTACGAAAAGTGTGAAATAATACTTCTCACTATAATGCCTAATTAAAATATCTGGTTTGAAATATCTAAAATGATTATTCGGTCACGTAATCCATCTTAAATATTTTTTATTTTCAGAAAATTATTCCGAGTTTTCATAATAATTATCTTCGAGCAGATTTTGAAATGCAGACTAAAATACTCGATAAGCGCATTTGAATTTATTCTCCTTGTTATGTATAAAGATATACAATGCTATTGTTAATTTGCCGCGGCAAATTATGGCATACAATGGCATGATAATAGAATGGTAGTTTGAACATTGAACATACTACGTAACACTGTGCGATTTCATAAACATGAAGATATTTCTAAACGTGAGAGAGATCGGAAATCGACATCTACGATTTATGCGAACTTGTCTTCTTCCATGCAATCAACACGTCGAATACGTTTTCCGTTGACGCGTTCTCGCGAGGCAGGTTCGTTTAGTTGCTTTTCTAACTGCGGCCTCCGCAGGAAATCGATCTCGTCCGCTCTAATTAGGAGTTCTGCGGTCCCGCGGTGCAGTACCATTTACTATTGTGTCACGAGTGCAAATGAAATTACCGCGCGAAGTGCATCTGCCTAAAGGAGCGGAAAATCAGAACGTACGGATATTTTTATCCTTCCCCGAAAATTTTCTCGTAAAAAACGATCTTGTAAGTATCTTTCATGAAACTCGTCACTTTTAAAATAGAATCCATAATTTTCAGAGAAACTGAAACATCTGATAATTTAATAAATACAGGTTAAAACGGTGCACATATA